TCCTTGAACCAGGACCTGGAAGGCGGAGGCTACAGTGAGCTGAGGTCATGCCACCGCACTTCAGACTGGGCTACAGAGTGACACTCCATCTCAAAAAAAAAAAAAAAAAAAAAATTAGCCAGGTATGGTGGTGCACGCCTGTAGTCCCAGCTATTCAAGAGGGAAAGGTAGGAGGACTGCTTGAACCCAGAAGGTGGAGGTTGCAGTGAGCAGAGGTCACTCCACTGCACTCCAGCCTGGGTGACAGAATGGGATGGTTTCAAAAAAGGGAAAGAAAAAGTGAGATGAACACTTAGGGAAAAAAAATTTTTTAATTAATAAATGTTCTGCGATGCTGAAGGTTTAATGCAGATCTACAGATATAAAAATAACCAGCACAAATGTTTGTTCCTTGTTTTGGGGGAGGTGAAGAACTGTGAATAAGGGATGCAGATATTACTTCAATGTCAAGTTCTAAGCTTTACACATGGGGCAGATTTCTACTACTTCCATATTATTTATCAGCAAATTGTACTTTCAGTTAGACCTGCCAATGAAATATTCAGGTTCAAACTGTGTAAGTTAACATTTAAACGCTAGAGGAAAAATTTAGTTTCCTTAGACTAACTATGATTTAAATATGCTACAAGTAAAGCATGTCTTCGGACTTGATTCTAGTACATTTCAGCGGACACTACTTACGTCCTGATGTGATAATTTTATACTACAATAAAGAGATAGAATGAGTCTTCCTTAGTTCTTTCCCAAGATATTTAAAACCCAACAATGTTTTGAGTAAAAGTTGAAAACTCAGGCTCATTTGAAAAGGTACCAGACTCACCCCAGCCTTTATTAACTTGGCACCAGTCCTCCTCTTCCAACTCCAGGGACAATCCCCACCTCAGCCTTCACATCCAGAAATTTCCCTCATTTCAAAAGAAACTTTCCACATAAGTAATAAAAATTTCAAATTGCTATAATGACTAATTTCTATCTCTCGAGGCAAAAAAGAAAAATAATAGAAGGCACCTTTTTGTAAGGACTTGGCATTTGGAGTGGGGGAAGAAACAAAGCAGCTAGAATAAACAAATAAATTGCTGTTTAGCTTCTAAAATATTAACACTTTGTCCGCCTTCAAATGCACTGACACCAGTAATCTAAACCTTGCTGCACAGAAAGAGAATTGTCCACAGTTACATGAAGGACACAATTACTGTATAAAAAAAGGAAATACTTTGTACTTTGTCCTCAGCACTTCACAGATCTAAGCCTTGGAAAGGAAGAGGATTCCAAAGCCAAGAACCCTTAAACAAATACGCCCTCTCTTAAACTTAGTGGCAAATTGCATTAACATCCTAGCTAATCAGTTACCTACAGAACTTTACAGAAGGAATTCATTATTTGAGAAATAACTACAGCTAAAACTACAGAGAGAAATAAATGCTAAACCATTATATTAAATTTCACACCTATATCCTTCTACCACCTTGCTACCCTCTACCCATATCTGCATTAATAGACCTTCTCACAAGCTTATCCTTTATTACTGGGCCCCTCTTTTATCCTCTTATATGTCCTATTCCACTTGCCTAAGGATTCCCAAGTCCTCATAACTCTGAAAGAAAAAGCATTAAGACCTAGATTGATTTTTTAAACCAAAGTATAAATGACCCTGTAATTAATAATTTTTTCTGGCATTCAAAATGCATTAGAATATCTCCCTAGCACTCTATGTGCCACTCAAATAGCTTAACTGCATGTCAAAGAACCCTACTGCTGACAATAGATCAAATTAACCTGCAAGTACTCAGAGATTTGCCATACAAAATCTGAAACAATGATTGCAATTTGCAAATTAATTGGGACACCACTTTCATCTAATCTCCATTAAAAGCGAGTTCATAAAGGCCATTCCTTTTTCCCACGGGTACATTTCATTTTGGCACTTATCAATATCACCATGGCCATCCCCCACATAATCACTAAATCCACACAACCCTCATTATCTACTCAGCCTCAGTATCATTTCTCTTCTGTATTACTCTTCCTTCTCCTCCCTTCCACTAGGTCCTATACTTTCACCCCTTCTGTAAATCTATTAGGATCATCACAAATATTCTTTCCTAGATAATTTTATATGTACTAAATGAATAGTTATTACAAAGCAAATACTACATTTCACAAGATAGTTGTTAGCAACCTTCAGGCACCTCTGATTTGAGTGGTTTAACACTGCTATCAAGAAAGACACCCATTTCAGGCTGGGCACCGTGGCTCACGCCCATAATCCCAACACTTTGGGGGGCTGAGGTGGGCGGATCATGAGGTCAGTTCAAGACCAGCCTAACCAACATAGTGAAACCCCGTCTCTACTAAAAAAATACAAAAATTAGTTGAGCATGGGGGTGTGCGCCTGTAATCCCAGCTACTCAGGAGGCTAAGGCAAGAGAATTGCTTGAACTCGAGAAGCGGAGGTTGCAGTGAGCCGAGATCAAGCCACTGCACTCCAGCCTGGTGACAGGGCAAGACACTGTCTCAAAAAAAAACAAAAAACAAAAAACAAACAAACAAAAAAAAAAACCCACCCATTTCACTGAACAGAATCATCACAGGAATGGTCTGTCTCTGAAAGCTGATAGAAACTGGAGTGAGAGGATGTGACTTCTGCCGGCTCAGTCTGAGGCCGCCTCTCAGGTGTAGATCAGACCCAGCTGCCTTTCTTCCTTTACCCACAGTCCACAGACACAGTGACTTCCCCACTTTGGTGCAACTGCTCCAACCACTGTACTCCTGGGAGAGCTCCTCCTCTCTATGCTTACAGTCAATTGGGATGCCCAGGCTTTAATGCCCCTTCCTGGCTGCCCCAAAGACAATGGTCAAGGTCTTTTAGGTCTACAGGGCTTGACAACCAACCATCACAAAGAAATACCCCATGTAAAACCCTGGGGAGATTACAGCGCTTCTACAGAATTCTTACAGTTGTGGTCCTTGATCTGCAGATTCTACTCCCTACCAGCCCTCAACTGGTTTAATAAACCTCCTCCTTCCTTAAATGTAATCCACATCAGTGACCTGAGAATCTTAAAATCAGCAGCCAGTAAAATTTCCAGAGAGATAACGGGAGTATGCTGGTATGTGTGCTGGTAATCCATCTATTCAGGATGCTGTGGCTGGAGGATCACTTGAGCTCAGCAGTTTAAGACAAGCCTGGACAACATAGCAAGACCCTGTCTTTAAAAATATGTTAAAACATACTCAGTAAAAGTGTAAAAGTAACAAAAGAAAAGCTGAAAGAGAAAAGGGAAGGGGAGCCATCACAGTGGGCTGTGCCTGTAGTCCTAGCTACTCAGGAGGCTGAGGCAGGAGAACTATTTGAGCCCACAAGTTTGAGGCTGCAGTGTGCTATTTGGGCTTGTGAATAGCCACTGCACTCCATCCTAGGCAACACAGCAATCGTGTCTCCAAAAATAAAGAAAAGGAAAAAAAAGAAGCTAAGTGTGGAAGCTCATACCTGTCATTCCAGCACTTTGGGAAGCTAAAGCAGGAGGGCTGCTTTAGCCCAGGAGTTGGAGACTAGCCTGGGCAACACAGGGAGGCCCAATCTCTACCACAAACAAACAAAAAAACAAAAAACTGGGAGTGCCCTGTAGTCCACTGTACTCCGGCCTGGGAGACAGAGCAAGACCCTGTTTCAAAACAAAACAAAACAAATAACTGACAAAAGGTAACATTTACTTTCGCAGCAAAAGGCATTAAAAACAACAACCAAACAAACCTCATCATCTACCAGTACCACAAATAAAATAGTCTTTTACCACAGGCATAATACCCATCTTTCAGACCAAAAAAACACCTTATCTTGTTCCTTTTTCCCCTCATTTAGCTATGGTGAAATGAAAACAAAGCACATCAAGGAATTGGCACTTGGAAAACAATCACTTAACCCAGTTTCACATTTAGTCACGGCAAGAAGACAGAATAACCTCTTCAGCTCAGTATTTGGTTCTTAAAAGCTGGAGCTTAAACTCCTGGGCCACCTGAAATCCTGAGACTAGCAACACAGAGATAGTGACAGATCAGATAATGAAGGAAAGCATCCTCACTTAGTCCCTACGACCATGTCTTGTCATAGGAAAATAAATAACAGTTAAACACCATCAAGAAATGACAAATTGGGTCAAAAATGCCAATTTAAAAATCTTTAATATGCAATCTAAAATGTTCCAAAAACCCAAAATATATTTGAACTTACTGGCCTTAATAAAGAATAGCTGGGCAATAAGATTAGCTCTTCATTGGTAAATTAGGCCAAAAAAGGGCAGAAAATCTTCAATTGTGTGCATCCCCCAAATCTTGTTTCCAACAGCTAAGGCTATTTAAGACTGACGTTTTAAAAGCCAAGGCCTTCTATTTTCATAGTTAACGTGTAAATAATGGCTCAAAAACCTTTTTTTCACCTCAAGAAGACCCTTTAGCAAACTCTCCAATGCTACACAGGCCTTCAATAGGGAAACTTAATCCAAATATTAGGTCGAGCATGGTGGCTCACGCCTGTAATCCCAACACTTTGGGTGGCCAAGGCAGGCGGATCACTTGAGGTCAGGAATCTGAGACCAGCCTGGCCAACGTGATGAAACACTGCCTCTACTAAAAATACAAAAATTAGTCGAGCATGGTGACAGGCACCTATAGTCCCAGCTACTCTGAGTAGCTGGCTGACACGTGAGAATCGCTTGAACCCGGGAGACAGAAGTTGCAGTGAGCCGAACCCGGGAGACAGAAGTTGCAGTGAGCCGAGACAGCGCTACTGCACTCTACCCTGGGTGACAGAGTAAAAACTCTGTCTCAGAAAAAACAAACAAACAAAAATTAACGTGAGCCCTCTCTTCCCTTTACAATGCAGCAGTATCTTATTAATGTCATTACATAAAAGCAGGAAAAAAATATCTAAGCCATACATTATATGAGACATTATAATTTCATACTACAAATTTTTAATAAACAAAAAGCATTTTACTTACGACGATGTTCCTTGCTGAGAATTTGCATGGGTTTTTGAAGATGTATCATATTGTTCTGTGGGGAAGGGAAACATTATCAGAGCAACAAAATGACACATATTTACAGGATCATTAGTTGTAAGTTCTTTTTTGTCCCTCCCCACTTTTTACCTAAACACACTGCACACTTGGTACAATCTCACCATTATAAGATGACATATATGTTACTTCTAGAGAGAAGGCTTGTTCAGAATCAAGAAACTCTCAATAGGCCAAAAACACTTTGAAAAGCAATATTTGCAGTATACCCTACCTATGATGCCAGGAATTTTCCTACGTGTTAGAAGATCTCCCTGTCCTTGACAGGGTGGACACCCACATGGAAGGAGTCTGCCAGGGCTACACTCCCAGTGCCCTGGCCCCCAAGTGACTTGACACAGATATCAGTGATTTGTTATCACTCCCTTTTGACAGCCCAGTCCTAGGTGCTCTCCCTCCCACCTGTCCTTTGTTATTTAACTCCCCACCTGCAATTCATTCATTCAGCAGCTATTTATAGACTGCCTCATAGAGACCAACATGTTTAAGGCATTTGGCCCTGTCCTCAAAGAGCACACAGTTGACTGAGGGACATGAAACGGGCCCATGAATTATCTGTAATCCTAGGCAGTGTGAGATGAAGTACACAGGTCAATCACATAAATTAGCTGCCCTGGGAATCCACAGTATGGTTGCTCTCTTGTTAATGCCAAAGAAGGCAAATTCAAGAAAGAACAAAATGAACTGTGTTACAAAGGACAGCCAAGATTCTGGCAGAGTGATGCTGGCAAGAGAGAGGAAGGTGGGAGCAAACATGAAGAGAGGGTCTGAGTTTGGAAAGAGCAGGGCTGAGGTGCAGAATCTGTGCTGGACAGCGCTGAAGCAGGTGGAAGCAGAAATTATGACTGTATTTGCTGGGCAATAAGACACATCAATGATCTAAACAGGAACATGACACAGTGATTCCTCAGAAGGATTACTCTGGTAGTGCTACCTAACATAACTTAGAAGGGAGCAGGAAATGTTACATGTGGAGGCAGCTGCATTTGTCTAGACATGAGGTAATAGGGACCTGAAACAGAATTGGAAGTGAAAAAGAAACATGGGTACCTTTTACGCAGGGTTGAATGACATATCCCACAAATGTCATGTGGAGACCCTTGGATATTTGCAATTAGTCACTTTACCCTCATGGTGGCAGCAGCTCTCATATGATGTTTTCAAATAGCCTCCCCTAGGTCTAGAAAGCTAGGACCAAGACTCCAAATGAGAGGGGCAAAGGCCCCTCTTCTGACCCTTCACAGGGACTCCACACGATCATTTTGACTGGGTTCTAAATTCCACAGGGTCTGGTTATGTTTTGCAATTGTGGACATATAACATTAGGGCATCCAAGTAAAATCCCCATACTTTCCCTCCCCACGGACTCTAAAACCTATGTACCAGTACCGTAAGATCAGTGTTGAAGAAACCAGAGTTGACTTGCTGGGCATACTTTAAGAAATGTGCGTCTTCTCTTCACTGAAAGCTATATCCATCCATACCCCATCATCCTCTTCTTCCAACATACAACAAACTAGATTCCTCTTTTTCAGGCCACAAAGACCACATTCTCACAAAGATAAGTAAGGCTCCCAGAATAGCAGAAGAAAGTGACAGCAGCGTGAAAGATCTGGGGGTATGCAGCTGGTGAGCCAGGACCTCCAGGAGGCCCACCAGTGGTTGTACAATTTCTCATTAGAGTAATGAGGAACTGACCCACACTACTGCACAGGGCAAGGGGATAAACCATCCCAGGGCAAGAGGATGATCCATCCCTGGCCAAGAAATTGCTTGTCTGTTCATCTTCAACTATACTTTGCTAAAAGGGGAAATCAAATGGTTTAATGGACTAAAGGTTCTTTCTAAACCATGAGTTAGCAACAAAGCAAACCATGAGCAACCCCACAGACGACATACCACCGCATGGCCAGTAGCCCAAGAAGACCGAAGGTGGGGGCGGAGTGGCGCCGAGAGGTACACAGCAACCCCATCCACGGCTGAGCTAGCGTTCTGCCTTCAGACCTGTGCACACTCCACTGGTCTGGGCCAGCTGCCAAGACGTTGAGAAAAAAAGACTTTCCAATCTCCCCAAGCAGCCATCCATTTCCGTGAATTTTACCTGGCTACTCATACGATACTGTAGTAGCAAAAGAGTCAGGTTTCTCTGCATTTGGGGGAAAATTTAGTTATGACTTCTTTGCAAGATCTTACTCATTATCTCTAGAGCAGGGAACAGCAAATTTTACCTACAGAGGCCAGACAATAAATATTTTAGGTTTTCTGTGCTATACTTTGTAGAATAATAAATGACTGGGTAGCTATGTCCCAATAAAATTTTATTTAGAGAAACTAGTGGCAGGGCAGATTTAACCTTCAGGCTGTAGTTTCCTCACCTCTGTTGTAGAGAAAGGATATTCTATTTCTTGCTTTTCTAATACTTTTGCCCTCTCCTCACATCCTTGCAATTCAAACAACATTAAAAAAATTGAGGGAAAATAATGAGGTGGGCAGATTTGAAGGAAAAATCATCTAAGCTCTCCTCTCCTAACATGCATATACACCTCTATACCCTACTTTTGGTTTCCCCATCATTTGAAAACTATTATTTCATAACTTTGGCAATTACCACATCCTGCTGCATGTTATCACCACCTGTGTAAGTGTCTTATTATTCTTACCTTTATTTTGTTTGTTTGTTTATTTCTTTTTGAGATGGAGTCTTGCTCTGTTGCCCAGGCTGGAGTGGAGTGGTACAATCTCAGCTCACTACAACCTCCGCCTCCCAGGTTTAAGCCATTCTCCTGCCTCAGCATCCCATGTAGCTGGGATTATAGGCACGCACCACCACATCCAGCTAATTTTTGTATTTTCAGGAGAGACAGGGTTTTACCATGTTGGTCAGACTGGTCTCGAACTCCTGATCTCAAGTGATCCACTCATAGCCTCCCAAAGTGCTGGGATTACAGGCATGAGCCACCATGCCTCACACCCCTCACCATATTTTCATGAACTAAATGATTATAAATACTCTACTCAATTTTATTTACTTTCCTATTTAATTATTTGAGACAGGGTCTTACTGTACTGCCCAAGGTGATATCAAACTCCTGAGTTCAAGCAATCCTCCTGCCTCAGCCTCCCAAGCAGCTGGGAGTACAGGTGCATACCACCACAACTGGCTTATCCTAGTCTGTAAGGCTTCAGCCTTGCAAAAAGCACACAAAGAATTTATTGATCTGAGGGGTTACTACTGAAGAGAAAGGCTGGATCCAGTTAGTGTTCTTCTATTTCCCTCCAAGTTCTCAAGTATTTACAATCCATGAAAAGGGACTGAAAAAGAATTACATGGCAAATAAATATAGTGGGGCTAGACAAACTGTATGTTATATTCCTTACAAAAATTTCTAAGTTTTGTTTTTTACCATATAAGAATCACAAACCCCAATCTATTGTTGTATACAATTCCTAGCTCTGAGGGTCACATTTGATACAGCTACTATGTGTCAGTAATACCACCTTAATTTGTTTAGTATACCACTGAAACATCTTTATTAACTCTTTGCAACAATTTTTTTTTTTTTTTTTTTTTTTTTCTCAGTATTAGCACAACTATAGAAAATCAATAC